AGGCAGAGGTGGACAAGAAACTGGACTCTCTTTTCCCTGACGACCTCCTGACAGCTGATGACAGCCTACCACCTCCTCCCGAGGGCAAAAATGACTCATCAGGTAGGCTGTGGCTAAATGCATTTATCGCCCGTTTATCTACCTCATGCGGGTAGCAGGGATACTAACGATGCCCCTATTTTTGGCTCGATATCCTTTCTAGACCTGCTCGGTGGACCCACATCAAACGAAGATTCTGAATTTTTGAATGATATCCTTTCGCTGGGCCCGTTGCCACCCACCACCGGCAGTGGTGAGGATAAGACAGCATCCGCCGCATCTGAAAAGCCGTCCGGTATTGACTCTCTGCCTCTGTTCAAACCTTTTCTCTCACCCAATGACCTCGGCCAACAGGGCTCTGAAGGTAGTGAAAACGCTTTTTTTGTTTTTTTTTAGTATCTTGTATCCCTTGACTCAGTGTCCAATCATAACGTTTACGTCAATTCTCACTGATAACAAAAAGTGGTGTAGTATGGTTCTATTAAATAAATAATGAAGAATAAACGAGGTACAAATCTTAACAGTGGATGCACATAGTCAATAACAAAGGAGTCTAACTCTAGGCACACGTGTGCAGGACAAAGCCAGGCCTGGGAGAGCATGTGTTAAGGAGGAGAGGATTGCCGTTGCTTTGGACAAGATTGTGTGAAAAAAAGATTAAACAAGGGGACGGAGAGCATTGCTAGGGGGAGGGGGAACCATCGTATGTAGGTCAGACAGAGAATCTCACCGGAGATGGAGGTGGAGAATTCCAAAAAATGATTCAGCCGAAGATAATAATATTTGTTGTTCATAGCCACCCACCCCCTCAAAGTACACTGTCTTTGGAACCAAGACAAAAGAGGCATTGACATCTTGGTTTTTTCTTTTCTTCCTGTAGATTCGCCTTTTCATCTCAATTGGGACAGTCAGCTGATGCAAGTGCCTGGCATGCAGGGCGGCAGTGGCAGTGATCTCAGCGCTCCGTTGAATGCAA